CAGGGGGAGTGGGAGAGGGAGAAGCAGGCTTCCCGCGGAGCAGGGAGCCCGATGCGGGGCTCGAACCCAGGGCCCTGGGCATGACCTGAGCTGAAGGCAGACGCTTAATGACTGAGCCACCCAGGTGCCCCATTAATTATTATTTTTAAATATTTATTTGAGAGAGAGAGAGAGAGCGTGTGCAAGCAGGGGGAGGGGCAAAGATAGAGGGAGAGACAGTCTTTTTTTTAAGATTTTATTTATTTATTTGACAGAGTGCAAGCACAAGCAAGGGGAACAGTAGAGGGAGAGGGAGAGGGAGAAGCAGGCTCCCTGCCAAGTGGGGAGCCCGATGTGGGGCTTGATCCCAGGACCCTGAGATCAACACCTGAGCCGAAGGCAGATGCTTAACTATCTAAGCCCCCCCAGGTGCCGCGAGGGAGAGACAGTCTTTTTTTTTTTTTTAAGATTTTATTTACTTATTTGTCAGAGAGAGAGAGAGCACAAGCAGAGGGAGAAGCAGGCTTCCCGCTGAGCGGGGAGCCCGATGCGGGACTCGATCCCGGGACTCCAGGATCATGACCGGAGCCAAAGGCAGTCGTTTAACCAACTAAGCCACCCAGGCGCCCGGGAGAGACAGTCTTAAGTAGACTCTGCATTGTGCATGGAGTCTGACGCCAGGCTCAATCTCACTACCCTGAGATCATCACCTGAGCCGAAACCAAGAGTCAGATGCTTACCCAACTATTCCACCCAGGCGTCCCTCATCAGAGTAAATTTTTGAACGTCATTAAGAAACCAACCCTGTACCTTTCAGCTATTATTCCCCCCCACCTCCCCCTCACACTCCTATTTGCCACACCACACTAGCCCTAAGCAGCTACTAATCTACTCTATAAATTTTCCTGTTCAGAAGATTCCATACAAATGGAATCATATAATACGTGGTTTTTTGTGACTACTTACACAATATTTTCAAGCCTCAGCAATGTTGTAGCATGTATCAGCATTTCATATCTTTTTACGATCTAATAATATTTCAGTGGATAGATATGTCACTAACTGATTATTCATTCGTCAGCTGATGAACATTTGGGTTGCTTCTACACTTTGGTTACTATAATGCTACAATGAACATTCATGCAATCCCAGGACCCTGGGATCACGACCTGAGCCCTGAAGGCAGACGCTTAATGACTGAGCCATCCAGGTGCCCTAAAAATATTTTTATCAAACTCAACAGCTTTCTGAGTTACTAAAATAAGGCAGTAAAAGTACCAAGACTATGTTCAGCATTCTTAATTTTTTTTAAAGGTTTTATTCATTTTAGAGAGAGCGTGTGAGCAGGGAGGGGCAGAGGGAAAAAGAATCTGAAGCAGACTCTGCACTGAGTATGGAACCTGACTTTGGGCTTGATCCCACAACCCCAAGACCATGACCCAAGCCGAAACCAAGAGTCAAACGCTTAACCAACTGAGCCACCAAGGTGCGCCAGCCTTCTTAATTTTTATAGGTTCTTTCTGAATTCACAAAATTTCTTCTATGTCTTATTCTGACTTTTTTCCTCCAAAGAAAATGTAGATTTATTCATAGCTTAATAAGCAAGGCACATGTCATAGCACATTATGGATTTTATGAAATAATTATTTTACTTTTGAGATCGAGAGAAAATTACACAATTGATTTGATATGAAACTTAAGTACTGGAAGAGACACTTTAGATTTCTCTAACAAGTGCTAGAAATATGGAACTGATTCAAGGGAAAATATTCAATTCATTAGAACTGAATGGAAATAAAAAAAGCAGAGGTTGGGCTAGCACCCTTCTTCCCACTGAAACATGAAAGAGAGTGAGAAATAAGGAACTAACCTTTCATTTGATGTCAACAACTATTTTGGAGGAAAAGGCTTTAATTTCTGACTCTCGCTATTTGATCGCTATTTGCCCATCTGTAAATTGAGAAGAATGAACTAATTTGCCTTATAGATCTAAGACTGTCCAACTACTATTTGTGCCAAATACAGTAAACTGCCTATGAAATAAGAATAAATCCAAGTTGCTATAAATGAAAAATGTAGACCTTGTAGTACAATTTGGAATTTTTTGGAGTGATGGAAAAGTTCTAAATCTTGTTTACTGTAGAGATTACATGACTGTACATATTTATCAAAGCTCACTGAATTATACTTATAAAATGGGTGAATGTTTCTGTAAATAAGTCATATCTCGATAAATCTGACTTTAAAAAAAAAGTATGCTCTGAAATCTTAATCCTATATAAAAAAATCCAATTTATTCTGAATTCCTTGATTCTTTCAAAACATTTAGAAACGTACCTGTATGGTGCATAGAACTTAAATATTCATTCTGTAGGCCATTTTCACTTTTAGTCCTATCAACAACTTTCTGGCATGTAGATTCTCCTTTATTCGATTCTTCATTTTCACTTGCAGTATGATTTATTTTTTTCAGACTACATTTCACGCTGCCTATGTTTCTCCGATAATGAGGGTCACTTTCTTCCTGTTCGGCACTTGAATCAATTCCAGCTACGCAATGTTTTCTGTTTAGCATCTTCTTAATTACAGGCTTGGCAGAAGAGTTTTGTGAACAACTGTCCATTTCACTGGCTGAAGGAGAAGAAATACAACTGTCCTCTACAGCTGAACATTTTTGCATGACTGTATTTTCATGGTAATGAGGATTAGGTTCATACTTTGGTTTTTCCAAACCAGGGAAACAAACAACAGCCAAAAACCAGTGTGCACTGTAAAAAACAAATGAAACTACTGAATATATTATTAGGAGAGTTTATTATATTTGGCAATAAATATCAATTGAAATATTTTTTCTAAAGCTTCTGTCAACAAATTTCTTAAGAACACCCAATTTTTTCAATTCTCAAATGAATCCACTTGTTTATATGATCATTAATAGAATATAATGTCTATTCAAAAACAACATAATTTTTTTAGAATTATGTAGCCTGCATTCACTTTTGCAAACATCCTTTGAAACTTTATTGCTTTTTGAATGAAAAATTCATTCTTATTTTTAGACAATTTAAGAAAATATAAATTAGATCACTGTAATTCACCATTTTCATTAACCTTCCCCTTGACCTATTTATGTCAAATAAAAAACTAGCCTCAAGACTAAAATGTTTTCAGAAGTCTAAATGGACTGTATAATTTTAAGCATTTTTCTAAATATTGCACATATAATATAGCTTTTAAAAAAACTTTTACCCCATGTCTGTTTTTCTTAAGAATAAGGTTAGGCATTGCTTAATGTTGAAAATATTAAATAATTCTTTGTCTTATGCTTACTGAGATGTATATACCACTAAAATGAAATAACATATCTATTTAAGCATCATTATAAAACTTTAGTATTAGTAGAGTTCCAGCTATCAGGTGGGTGCTCCTGATAAAGCTAAATTCAGGTATCATGGTTTCCAATAATAGGTTAGAAGCTACGAGTAAAAAGCTGTACAGCTAACATTGGCTAATATTCATTAATCTAATGAGGAATTTTATCAGGGGCTTACTATTTCCTAGACACTGTTGTATGCTAGGATACAATGAACAGGCTATAGATGTCAGAGAACTTATTAACTGAGTACAGTGTTTGTCATATAATAGGGTATTCAATAGGTGTTTGAGGAGTGAAAAAATGCATTAGCTTGATATGAACAAAAGTTATTCTATATTCTCACTTTTACAAAATGTTAAATTCCTCCAAGGTAATATGAAGAAACACTAATTGTCTCTTCATCAGATAGCATAAACCAAGGGTGACAAAGCCTGGCTTCATCCTCAGTATTTTTAAGGCGAGATGGAGGAATGCTTGCTTCTCTTTTGTTCTTTATTAACCCTCACTATCCTATGGACTTAGGTCAGACTAGGGTAGTAGAAAGAGCAACACACCATCTTTCTCACTATATTCCAAGATTTGGCTGACTGTAAGTCACAGCTCAATGTCAAAAAAAGTTAAATGTGAAGAAATATGTTTTAAAAATTGATTAATTCGGGATAATATAGCAGTTCTCAATCTAAATGTATAACCAAAGTCTATCACAGTTTTTAACATTTCTTAGCTATGACTAATATGTACAAGGCATAAATTTTCTGTTAGACACCTAAAAACTAAGAAAAATTCTTTCTTTACCTAGCCGAAAGGAGAAACCTGAATTAGATATCACTGAGGTTATTTTCAACCTCTAAGTGACAGGATTTTGCTTTTATGATCCCTTTTAATAGCAGCTACACATTGACCTTAAACGACCAGTGAGAGAAGAGACTAAAACAAGTAATTTCACTTAAGATCGACTGGATCGAAATGTTGACATTTTTTCCTTATCAATTTTTAACAAATAGCTTATAAACTTTAAAGTTTAAGAAACTACCACTACCAAGAAAATTAAAAATAAAACAGCAACAAACACAGCAGCCTATCTAAAATAATTAGCGAATAGACCTATTTGTGGCTTTAGCTCCTCAAAAACAAAACAAAATGAACTCTCAGGATTTGGAGGCTATTCTTCATCTACTAGGGGCATAGTTCTTTTGCAGAATCCTTTATTGACTCTACATCTTTGTTCATTCTCTTTCACCAAGGTAACTAGAAGGATTAATCATAGCTTTAATCCACCGCAGATACACTAAGAGGAATGTGCCTCTATTGCTAAAGTGTGTACCTTAAATTTTTATAATTCATTTCTGACAAATAGCTCTCTATGTGTATCTTCTCTTTCACCTAAGCAAGCAGCTCACATGTTAGTCTTTATGACAAATTACTGCCAAGAAACCTTATTTTTGAGGATAATGAAGAAATTAAGAATTAGTTTTACACTTGGTTTTAAATTATGACACTATGTTTGACTTAAATATATAGCTCTGACGACGTTAGGCTTGGGGCGCCTGGGTGGCTCAGATGGTTAAGCGTCTGCCTTCAGCTCAGGTCATGATCCCAGGGTCCTGGGATCGAGCCCCACATCGGGCTCCTGGCTCAGTGAGGAGCCTGCTTCTCCCTCTCCCTCTGCCTCTCTCCATGCTCATGCTTTCTCTCTCTCTCTCTCTGTATCTCTGTGTCTCAAATGAATAAATAAAAAAAAAATCTTAAAAAAAAAAAAAAGAAGTTAGGCTTTATAGCTATAACCAGTGTTTTGATCTAGCCTACCTATCTTTGGCTGGGTTCATTAGAGAGCACAGGTCTTACGATTAATGTATGATTTTTTATTATTATTATTTATTTATTGAGAGAGAGAGAGATTTAGAGAGAGAGAGTGCATGAGAGGGGGAAGGGTCAGAGGGAGAAGCAGACTCCCCACCAAGCAGGCAGCCTGATGCAGGACTCGATACTGGGACTCCAGGATCATTACCCGAGCCGAAGGCAGTTGCCCAACCAACTGAGCCACCCAGGCACCCTAACGTATGATTTGAAATAAATAGAATGTGATTATACTATTGAGTGAATCTGTTTTTCATAGTAAGGAAAAAAAAAAGAGCATATTCAGAAGCTAGCCTGGCACAGCTAGGCTTATTAGACATAAACAATCTTACAGAATACCAATCCCAGACAAACTTACTCTGCAACCATGATAAACTGAGACAAAGCAAGGACATGTCTCAATTTGTTTAAGCAGAGACAAACAAGATCAAAAAGCAACCAAAAAAATGCCAAATATTCCCCTTTTTTGCTAAATGGGTAAATGCTACTTCTTTACCCAAGCAAACAACTGCTTCCTTACATCTTCCCCCGATGACCAAACCAAAGCCCAAATTCTATTACAGGCGCTTTCAAACACACTTTTACTGAGAGGCTCCATGGTTGCCCATGGTGTGTGTTCTCCCTTGATGTAAGTAATAAACCCAAGTTGTCCAACTACAGGTGTATTCCTGGGAGTTTTTGGCTGCAAGGCATAGGAAAACAGAAAAATGAAATATAAAATCTCTCAAGTCTAAACTGTATAATAATACTATCCTACACATCAATGCCTCTCTAGTCACTGTGGGAGAACACAAAATATTTAACCACCTCCATTTACCTAGAAAACAGCTGAAAGTAGTCAGCATGGTTTTCAATTTGAGTATATGACATAAATTTAGCCATCTTTTCTTCTTTTGGTTAAGAGCCAAAGTGTTTTCTAAAGATTCAAAATCTATGTGACCTAGTCATCATTCTGTATAAAAAAATCTGTCCTGTAGGATGTTTGGTAGACTATAGCACCACTTTTTAAAAATGACATTATTCTATACTGATGAGTAAAACAAAATTAGAAAGATCTCTTGCTAGTGTTTATAAAATTCAACATCTTACATGATTCACTAAAAACTATCAATTTTCATAAAATAAGCAGCATAGACATATATAACAAATTTCAGAAAGTTTAAAAATGAATGAATTCTTCAACTCATAAACACATTTTCTAAAAATAGCCTTCACATTTACATAAAGAAAATTATTACTCACGCTTCATTAAGGGGTACAAAAATAAAATCCTTCTCAAAAATATCTACATGCCGGGTCCATGTTTTTACTCTCCCATGTCGCTTTTGCTGTATTCTATAAGAAAAGAGATAAACTATCACTTTCTGAAATGCTTCTAGTGCTTCAGCTTATATGCAGCCATTTATAAATTATAAAGACTAAGATGTTAATAAAACAGTTGTATAAGATGATTTAACAAGTTGGGGAAAGAAAATAGATCATCTCAGATGGAGCTAGGAAGGTGTGAAACCAGACATCACTGAATCTGCAAGAAAGAATTATTTAGTTCCTGCTACTACTTACTAAGTGAACCAGTGCTACTATTTTTATAACTGCATATTAGCAACTATATTGAGAAATGTATCAGACCATGACCTATAATGACTGAGGAGAAGACAGCAGGAAAACTGAGCATTACAAAAGATGAAATAAAATAGATTATGAACATTGGTCAAACCAATCACTATCATCAACTCTAAGATGTAAAATTAGGAATCACTGAAACAGTATAAAATATTATTTATACTGGGGAGCCTGGGTGGCTCAGTTGTTAAGCGTCTGCCTTCGGCTCAGGTCATGATCCCAGGGTCCTGGGATCGAGCCCCGCATCGGGCTCCCTGCTCGATGGGAAGCCTGCTTCTCCCTCTCCCACTCCCCCTGCTTATGCTCCCTCTCTTGCTGTGTTTCTCTCTGTCAAATAAATAAATAAAATCTTAAAAAATATATATTATTATTTATATTATGCACAATAGCCATCAATTCAAGACAACTGACAGCCCTTACGGCATTCTGTATGTATCTTTTGACCAATTATCAGCGCAAATTAGGGCTGGATGCAATCACTATATGGAGCGGAATTAAAAACAAACTGATTCAAGCCTAATATGTGGAACAGTATTTCCTTAACTTGTTGCAGCAGAATTATCCAAAGAACTTATTAAAAGTACAGAGTCACAGGTTCCTCTCTAAAGTATTAGGAATAGAACATCTAGGGTAAAACAGAGCAATCTGTACTTAATAAGTATCCAAGTAATTTTTTTTTTAATTGTCAGGCACATTTTGGGGAATAATGATTTAGATATTGGACCAAAAACCTTTATGAATTCCAGATATTCTTGAGGCTTTGGAGTATTATGAATTATATTAATTTTGCTAACTGACAATAGAATTATAAGATGTTACCTCAATACAAGTACATTTTTTATTAAATTAAACTTGAGTGACTTACTACATCTGTTAAATATTTTCAGAGCTTGACTTACGATAGATTAGTTGTTTCGTGAAGATTTCTTCTTTCTCTCTGATTAAGGCGTTTATAGAAAAAAGAACTGAATATATGAATTCGGTCAGCTTCTTCTTTCTTCAGTTTTTCAAGCACCAAATATCTATTTTATAAAAAAAATCCAAATATAATGAATTTAACAGTTTATACTAAAAACAGTCAGTGATCAAATATCTATTTAGCCAACATCAACCTTTCTTACACCTGAAAGACTTTATTAGCAAGATTTACTTCATATTCTAGGCAATGGTAACTAATAGATTATTTTCAATGAATGAAAAGTGATGTTTGAGAGTAAAACTATGATTTGCAAGATCTGATCTTGAAGACTCAAATAAATAAAATAAAATAAAAAAATGAAGGAGAAATAAAAACCACCAGAGGAATACAGAAAATTATGAGAATATTATGAAAAATTCTTTGTCAACAAATTAGACAACCTAGAAATATACAACCTTCTAAAACTGAAGCAAGAAGAAATAGAAAATTAGAACAGACTGACTACCAGGAATAAAATTGAATCAGTAATCAAAAAACTCCCAACAAATAAACATCTGGGACTGGATGGCTTCACTGGTGAATTCTTCTAAAACTTTAAAGAAAAGTTGGTAACTGTTCTACTCAAACTGTTTCAAAAAATAGAAGAGAAAGTAAAGCTTCCAAATTCATTCTACAAGGTCAGTATTACCCTGATACCAAAACCAGATAAAAACACTACAAAAAAACCCAGAACTACGGGCCAGTACCTCTAATGAACATAGATGCAAAAGTCCTCAACAAAATATTTACAAACCAAATTCAATGATACATTAAAAAAAAATCATTCATCATTATCAATTTGGATTTATTCCTGGGATACAAGGGTGGTTTAGTATTCACAAATCAATCAACATGATACATCACATTAACAAGGGAAAGGATAAAAACCAGATTATGTCAATAGATGCAGAAAAAACACAGGACAAAGTACAACATCTGTTCATGACAAAAACTCTCAACAAAGTTTAGAGGGAACATACCTCAACATAATAAAGGCCATACATGAAAAACCCAGTTAACATCATATTCAATGGTGAAAACATAACTTTTCCTCTAAGATCAGGAACAGAACAAGGATGGTCACTCTCAAAACTTTTATTTACTATAGTACTAGAAGTCCTACCCACAGCAATCAGACAAGAAAAAGAATAAAAAAGCAGCCACATTAGTAAGGAAGAAGTAAAACTTTCACTATTTGCAGATGACATGATACTATATACAAACTCTAAAGACTCCACCAGAAAGGGTCACCTCAGTGGTTCAGTTGGTTAAGCGTCCAACTCTTGATTTTGGCTCAGGTCATGATCTCAGGGTCATGAGATTGAGCCCACATTGGGCTCTGTGCTGGGCATGGAGCCTGCTTAAGATTCTCTCTCCCTGTAGCGCCCCCCTTCTCCTTCCATCACTAAGAAAGAAAAAAATGACTACCAAAAAACTGCTAGAACCAATAAATGAATTCAGTAAAGTCACAGGGACGAGTTTACCTACAGAAATCTGTTGATTATACACTAATAATGATGTAGGAGAAAGAAAAATTAATAAATTACCTATGAATATCTTTAACCAAAGAAATGAAAGAAGCATACTCTAGAAGCTATAACACACTGATGAAAGAAACTGAAGATGATGCAAACAAATGGATATTCCATGCTCATGGATTGGGAGAACCAATACTGTTAAAATGTCTATACTACCCAAAGCAATCTACAGATTTAATAGAATCCCTATCAAAATACCAACATTTTTTACAGAATTAGAACAAATAATACTAAAATTTGTATGGAACCACAAAAGACCCAGAATAGCAATCTTGAGAAAGAGGAACAAAGCTGGAGGTAACACAATCTCAAATTCCAGAAATACTACAAAGTGGTAGTAATCAAAACAGTATGGCACTGGCACAAAAATGAACACATGGATCAATGGAACAGAATAGAGAGCCCAGAAATAAACCCACACTTATATGGTCAATTAATCTACAAAGGAAGCAAGAATATACAATGGGAAAAACAGTCTTTTCAACAAAGGATGTTAGGAAAACTGGATGGCTACATGCAAAAATATAAAACTGGACCACTTTCTTATACCACACACAAAAATAAACTCAAAATAGATTAAAGATCTAAATGCGAGACCCGAAACCATAAAAATTCTAGAAGAAAACATAAGCAGTAATTTCTCTGACCAGCGTAGAAACATTTTTCTAGATATGACTCTTCAGGCAAGTGAAACAAAAGTAAAATTAAACTACTGGGACTACACCAAAATAAAAAGTGAAGGAAACCAACAAAATAAAAAAGCAACCTACTAAATGGGAGAAGACATCATATCTGCAAATGATATATCCAATAAGGGGTTAATATCCAAAATATATAAAGAACTCAACATGAAAAAGAAAAAGAAAACAACAACAACAACAACCAAATCAATTAACAATGGGGAGAGGACATGAATAGACATTTTCCCAAAGACATACAGATGGCCAACAGACACATGAAAAGATGTTCAACATCATTAATCATCGGGAAAATGCAAATCAAAAACCATAAAAATACCTGACAGAATGATAAAATAAAAAAACACAAGAAATAACAAGTATTGGTGAAAATGTGGAGGAAAAAGGAACCTTCATGCACTGTTGGTGAGAATGCAAGCTGGTGCAGCCACTGTGGAAGAACAGTAGGAAGTGCCTCAAAAATTAAAAAATAGAATGAATACTCTATGATCCAGTAATTCCACTACTGGGTATTTTTCCAAAGAAAATGAAAACACCAATTTGAAAAGACATATGCACCCCTATATTTATCACAGCATTAACTACAATAGCAAAGAGGTGGCAGCAATCCAAATGTTTATCCATATATGAATGGATAAAAATGTGGTGTGTACACACACACACACACACACACTGGATTATTACTGAGCCACCAAAAAGAATGAGATCTTGCCATTTGCAACAAGATGGGTGGACCTAGAGGGTATATGCTAAGTAAAATAAGTCAGAGAAAGACAAATATCATATGATTTCACTCATGTGTGGCATTTAAGAAACAAGACAAACAATGAGAAAAAGAGACAATCCCCCTCCCAGACTGTTAAAAACAGAACTGGTGGTTGCCAGAGAAATGGGTGGGGGGATAGATGAACTAGATAATCGGGATTAAGAGTACATTTATCTTGATGAGCACTGAGTAATGTACAGAACTGTTGAACCATTGTACCATTATACACCTGAAACTAACACAACACTGTATGTTAAGAAAAAAAAAAGTCACTGTGAAAAAAAGTTTGTTTCCTACTTGTAGAGTTAGAAATGGAAAAGAACGAGCAGTCTGGTAGAAGTTTAAGAAAAAAGTTTCTTTTTAACTTCTAAGCATGTCATGAGACAGAAACAGATTTTTATTTTTTTAAAGATTTATTTTATTTTAGAGAGAGAGAAAGCGCTAAAGTGCAAGCGGGGGTAGGGTCAGAGAGAGAAAGAGAGAGAGAGAGAGAATCCTTAAGCAGACTCTCTGCTGAGTGGGGCGTGTGATATGGGGCTCAATCCCAGGACCCTGAGATCATGACCTGAGCTGAAATCAAGAGTCAGATGCTTAACCAGTTGAGCCATCCAGGTACCCCATAAACAGATTTTTTAAAAACCATGCATTTTGTTAGGTTTCCTTTTTTATTTGGAATACTGATTTGCATCAGAAAAGGCAGAGCTTTTAGATAATGTAACTTTAATGTAGTTTTAAAGTGCTACTATAAAATGTTAAGGGGCCTCCTGAAAATGTAAAGAATTTCAGGAGTATACACAGATAAAGAATTTCAAGAGTATACACAAATACTATAAAATCTCTATCTCAGTGTAAAAAGTAAAGATTTAAGTATGAAATATAATAAGCTACAATGTAAACAAAACACAGGCATTCAACTTATTTTTCAGATCCAACTATATGCTTTCAAAACCAAAAACTATTAAAAAAAATAAATTAAAAGTAAAGGGATGAAAAATACACACCATGCAAACAAAAACCAACAGAAAGCTGGAGTAACTATATTCATTTTGAACAAAGTAGGCTTAAGAACAAGGACATTATCAAGGATACAGAGAGACATTACAAATGACAAAGGGTTGATTCTCCAAGAAACATAAACTTGTATGTACCTAACAACAAATATCCAAAATACATAAGGCAAAATGAATTTGAAAGGAAAAACAGACAAATCCATTATTATACTTGGAGATCCAAGTGTATACATACACACACACACATACTTAGTATATATATAACCTTCTCAATAACTGATAAAACAAGTAGGTATAAAATCAGTAAGGACAAAGATGACCCAAAGAGCACTACCAAACAACTTGACCAAACTGACGTTCACAGAACAACACCTCATCCAACAACAGTGGTACTGTTCTGCACACTCAAGACTTTTCGCTTGGTTTCTTAAGGTAGTATACATTAGAATTAAGAGATAATATTTTTAAAAAATTATGATAAAAATGAATAACAGCAAATTTACAATCTTAACCATTTTTTAAAAAGATTTTATTTTTAAAGTAATCTCTACACCCAAAGTGGGGCTTGAACCCACAATCCTGAGGCCAAGACTCATGCTCCACTGACTGGGGCAGCCAAGCACTCCCAATCTTAAACATCTTTTGAAAAAATATTTTTAAATAATCTCTACACCCAATGTGGGGCTCGAACTCACAACCCCAAGATCAAGAGTTGCATGCTCCACCGCCTGAGCCAGTGAGGGGCCCCCCCAATCTTAACCATTTTTAAAAGTGTACCGTTCAGTAGTGTTAAGTATACTCACATGGTTGTGAAACAGATCTCCAGAACTTGCAAAACAGAAACTCTATACTCATTAAACAATTCCTTTTTCCCCCACCCTTCAGCTTTTGATAACCACCATTTTTTTCCTTTTTCTATGAATATGACTATTTCAGACATCTAATATAAGTGGAATCATACACTACTTGTTTTTGTGACTGGCTTATTTCACTTTGCATAATGTCTTCCAGATTCATCCATGTTGTAGCATGTGACAGATTTCCTTTCTTTTTAAAACTGAGTAATATTCCTCTGTATCTATATACCACATTTTGTTTATCCACTCATCCATCAATGGACATGTGAGTTGCTTCCACCTCTTGGCTACTACGAGCACGGATGTGCAAGTATCTCTTTGAGACCATACTTTTCAATTCTTTTGGATATATATCCAGAAGTAGGATTGCTGGATTGTAGGGTAGTTCTATTTTTAATTTTTGAGGAGCCACTATACTGTTTCCCTTAGTGGCTGTACCATTTTATATTCCCACCAGCAGTGCACAAGGAATCCAATTTACCCACATTCTCAGCAACACTTATATTCTTTTCTTACTTTTTTTTGATAGTAGCCATCCAAATGGTGATAACTTTTTGTGGGTTTGACTTGTATTTCCCTGATGAATAATACTGAAAATTCTTTCATACACTTGTTGGCCATTTGTAGGAGATAACATCTTTTGTCTTAGCTATGAAGAACTTTGAACTCTTTTTTTTTTTTTTTTTAACTCATTCTTGAATGTGTTTGTTAGGTCTCAGAGGGGTCTAACATCTGCAAAGTTAAGCATTTAAAATCTAGGGCAGTTTCTCTTGCTAGTAAATCTATGATACATTTTATAATTTACTGAAACATATTCCACTACTATCCAATCTTCAAAAGGAAAATGCCTTTGAAAATAGGATATAGTTAACATAAACAGAATATAAAGTCACCCCTGACGTGAAGTATATCCTGTTGGTTGAAGATGTTGACCTTGTCAATTTTGTTTAGTTGTTCTAAAAATTGTTGAGAGAGGGTAATTGAAGTCTCCAGCTGTATTTGTGGATTTGTCTTTTTCTCTTTTTAGATCAGTTCATTTTTGTTTCACATATTTTGTAACTCTGTTGTATGGTACATACCCATTTAGGATTGCTAAGTCTTCTTGGTGGATTCACTTATTGCATGGTGTCCCTTTCTAGCCCAGGTAATTGTTTTTTATTTTTCTGATAATAATATAGTTAACTTTTGCTTTAATATTTGTTTAGTATCTTTTATTGTCCTTTTATTTTCAACTTACATATATTATTATCTTTGAAGACAGGACATAGTTGGGCTATGGTATTTAATTAGTCCACTACTCTGCCGATCTTGGTCTTCTAATTGAGATATAAATAGTGCATTTAAATTGAATGTAATTAGGGTTGCCTGGGTGGCTCAGTCAGTTCAGCGTCTGACTCCTGATTTAGGCTCAGGGCATTATCTCAGGGTCGGGAGATGGAGCTCTACCTTAGGCTCCGTGCTCAGTGGGGAGTCCATTTAAGATTCTCTTTTTCCCTCTCCCCCTTTCTTGCCACTTCCCACCTCAAATACATAAATAAATCTTAAAAATAGATAGATAGATAGATAGATAGATAGATAGATAGATAGATAGATAAAAGGGCGCCTGGGTGGCTCAGATGGGTAGGTGTCTGCCTTTGGCTCAGGTCATGATCCCAGGGTCCTGGGACTGAGCCCTGCATCGGGTTCCCTGCTCAGTGGGGAGCCTGCTTCTCCCACTCCCTCTGCTTCTCCCCCTGCTCATGTTCTCTCTCTCTCTGTGTCTCGAATGAATAAATAAAAAAACTAAAGTAAATAAAATAAATAAATAAATAGGATGTAGTTGGTGATATGTTCTATCTTCCAGGTCACTCATTCTTTCCTCTGTCCTCTCCATTTTGCTGTTGAGCCTATAAAAGTTTTTATTTGTTATTATAGTTTCACTTCTAAAATTTCCGTTTCTTTCTTGTTTATATCTATTTTTTCATAAGTTTCACATATGTTCACAATTTTTCCCTGAAGAATTTTTATAATGGATGCTTTAAAATCTGTCATAATTCTAATTCTAATAATTCTAATTCTAACAATTCTAATTCTAATAATTCTAATATCTGTGCCATCTTGGTGTTGACTATTTACATTATATTTTCTCGTTCCATTTGAGATCTCTCTGCTTGTTAGTGAGAGAAGTAATTTTCGATTGAAATATGGGCATTTTGAGTATTATGTTACAGGATTCTAGATCTTATTTAATTCTTGTGCTTTAGGAGGCCTCCCCAGTACCACCTTCTAGTAGGTGCAGCGGGCTCCACCTCATTACTGCCAGGTGGGGATGGAAGTTCAGGTTCTCTACTAGGCCACTATTATGAGAGATAGAGGGGCTCTGTGTTACAAGGAGGGATGGGAGTCTCCCCACTAGGCCTCCACTGATACACCTCTGCTGGACAGAGAGAGAACAGAGTACCTTATTACCCCCAGGCACAAGGGTACAAGTCCAGGTCTACATCTGACCCCTATTAGCTCAGGGTCACTGTGACCTTAAAGTTATTCTGAGCCCTTATCTGCCTTAACCTCTGCTGTACTGACCCCACTAAATGTATCCTCTTTTAAAGCTTTCAACTCCCTTCAATTTCAGGACATAACCCACTATGGATTTCTCTTCTTACCTCTCAAATCCTTCAGAATTTATTCATAAGAATCTCTTTCTTCCCTAACTCTCCAGATTCTGTCCTTATAGCTCTTTTTCTCATTCTGTATTTCTACCTAAGCAATTTTACCTATTCTCATAATTAAACTACCACTTGCAAAGTAAAGCCTCCTAACTTTTTATGTCTCCAGGCCAGAACTCAAATGACCTTCAGAGCCATATACTCAACTGTTTATTGGCCCTGTCCCTTTTGTTGTATCACAAACATCTAAAAGCAAACTCACCCCCACCCCCAAACAAATCCGTTCTGTTTTTGTTCATTGCTTCACAGTCAATGACAAAATCATTTAGCAGGTCTCACTAGTCAGAAAGCTAGGAGTTATCTGCCAACCATTCCTCTCCTTCTTAATATCCATTCATTCAGTTGCTAAAGAACTGTACCTCTTAAAAAACATTTATTTCCTCTGCATTCCAATTAAAATGCCTTAATCAGGCTTTCTTTTTTTTTAAGTAGGCTCCATGCTCAGTGTGGAGTCCAACGTGGGGCTTGAACTCACAATCCTGAGATGAAGACCTGAGCTGAAATCAAGAGTTGGAAGCTTAACCAACTGAGCCACCCAAGTGCCCGTTAATCAGGCTTCTTTTATCACCTTAATTAAATTTCCTTAAATCATCTCTCATCTAGACATCCACAATGAACATGCTTGTCGAATGATCTTAAGGAAGCTCAATTATGGGACGCCTGGGTGGCTCAGTCTTTAAGCGTCTGCCTTTGGCTCAGGTCATGATCCCAGGGTCCTGAGATCAAGCCCCACATCGGGCTCCTTGCTCAGTGAGAAGCCTGCTTCTCCCTCTCCCTCTGCTGCTCCACCTGCTTGTGCTCTAATAAATAAATAAAAACCTTTATATTAAAAAAAAAAGGAAGCTCAATTATTATACCACATCTCTGATCAAAACCTTTCACTCTTTTTAACAATGTACTCTTTTCCCAACAATGTACTCTTTTCCCAAACTGCTGGCTGCAACCATTAGTAGGCTATAAAATCAATCTAGCAGCTTTCAACAACCAGTTCTTCAAAAAAATATTGTTTTATGAAATACATTTGAATAAACTAGAAAATACTGGCAAGTGCTGGATACACTGATAGTTGTTTTGTTTCATATACACACTCACTTTATACCACAAACCAGTAAACACATACAAATTTATACATGTATAAACACACTGCACATACATGTATATGCATGTGTATACTGGGTCATGATGTAAGCTCTTCCAGGAAAGCTTCTTGGTCCCTTATATTTCCCAACCCCCAAAGAGAATGAAGCATTCTTTTGCTGCTGCGTCTATACCATGTTAATACTTCCGTCAATCTTTAATCCTGTATTTGTGTTTCCCTACAAGACCATAAACTTCTAACACAGTATGTGGCACATAGCTAGCACTTGATGAATATCAAGTAAAATCATACTTTTGTGCTTGCTCAACAGTTTATTACCTAAATTAGAGTAGTAACAATTTTTTAAAGGCTTAAAACAGTGTAATGTAACAATACAATAAGCTAGCATTTATGAACATGCTGCATGTGCCAAGTATTTTCCTAATGCTTGACGTGTATTATTTAATTCTCATAGCCTTTTAGATGTCATTATTCTTCTCACTTTTTAAATGAGAAAACACAGGTAGAGACATTAATTTCCCAAATGTCACACAATAAGTGGCAGTGATGGAATTCAAAACCCAAACAGTTCTGATTCTAGAAAACAAAGATATATATTATAGAATGTTAAAGATATGTTAAAAGAAAGTAGAAAATTAACTTACTTCAAATAAAAGTCTATAATAACATCATTTAAAAATTCTCCTTCACTTAGACAGTGCAGATCCTCATTAGTAACAGAGATGCCTCCCTTAGCTGGAGGTGGTGGATATACTATCAATCTGTAACAAAATAAAACAAACAAATTAAAAAACAAAAAAAAATAAACCACAAGCAAATGAACAAATACATACGTGTGTGTATGTATGTAACTGAAATGTAATAAAACAGAAAACAAATTTAAAAGCATTGCAATGTAAATGAATATTCTCACTTTTCCACAGGGCCCATGAAGATGGTATGATTCTCTCCAGTTTCTTCATCATCATCAAAAAATTGAAATTCTTGCTTGTTTTTAAGTTGTATTTTAGATTCAAGGGACACCTGGTAAAGGATATTATCAGTTTACAAAATCAATTGGGAAATTTTTCAATAAAAAAGCAAGCACAAGGCAAGAATACCTTACAATTTAAAAAATTTTTAAATATGAAAAAGTATACATGATTTTTAACAATTAAAAATAAGAAGCAGGCAAAACTAGGGCCCACATTCTCTGTATGTATAGTTTCTCGAACAATGATACTTTTCCAATTTTTGTAACAATGGTTTTCTGGTATCTTGTCTATGATCTCTATCATCCTTATTAAATTAAGATTATATCTGTAAATCCAAAGAACAGATATAATGGTTTTTGATTCTGGGAGTGGAGGCCCACCTAAGTTCAATGACTAGGCAATCCATGAGATATGGGAGCAGAGGCTCAGGGAACACAGTCCAACGAAATTCAGTTCCCCAGAATGAAGTCCTTAAAGAAAGAGCCTTGCATTGAAATTTTATTCTATCACAGCTGCCTTATGGCTTCAGTTGCTCTTTTCTTCCTCATTAATAATCTCTTGCAGCTAGTTCTGCAAAAGAAAGGGAATGGTTCCCTTTTCTTCTGTTCTTTTTGTGAACCCACTAACTGTGTGAATAGCTCTTCTCTGTGAGACCTCTCTTGACTTCACCAAAATTGTGCCTTGAATAGCCCTATTTCCAAACTGTAGGCAGGTTGAAAGATTTTAAGTATTTCTAATAAATTAAGTCGGTTAAATTCAGTTGCAGGGTTAGGGGACAAATTTGTGTTATTTAACATTATACTATGTGTTATAAGAATACACAGCTTTTGGTTCAGCTGGCTTCATAGTAACCCACTATATGATTAGTTATTCCAGAACTGGATACATATGTTGATAGACACAATCAAATGGCATGTATTGTTTCCTAAGTTTTCAACCATGTATGCACATGTTACTTATAAATGTACATCAAGGATCAAAATTCCTTTATCTGTATTGAAGCCAATGGCATCATTGGGAACCACTAGCAAATTTAAGAGTAACAATCAATTTGGGGGCTCCTGGGTGGCTCAGTCAGTTAAGTGTCTGCCTTTGGCTCAGGTCATGACTCCAGGGTCCTGGGATTGAGTCCCACATTGGGCTCCCTGCTTGGTGGGGAGCCTCCTTCTCCCTCTCCCTCTGACTGCCACTACCCCTGCTTGTGTGCTTGCTCTCTCCGTCAAAATAAATAAAATCTTTAAAAAAAAAAAGTAACAATCAGTTTGAATGTAGCAGTATATGAACATGTATGTTCAGAGTGGGGGGGGGAGAAAAAAGGATGAAAGAAAAAGAAAAGATGAAAAGAATACAGTGTGGAAAGGAACTAAAACTGCTTCTGAGACCTATATCAAGTACTATTTATGTCACAAGTCACCTACCCGCCATTAATGTTTTGCCACAAGATAGTTTACAAATCACATATAAAAGCAAATAATTCTGAAATGGAATTAAAAAGATCTAACTCCAAAATGAGCAGTATAATGAAACATATTTCGCTTTAAAGCTACCCATTATTTTAAAAACTAAAAAACATAATTACGTTTTTAATTTTGTTTTCTTTCTGCACACAACTTCCTTTGATGCTCTCTTCATATGTTCTTGTACAGGCAACAAGTCTGCTATTGGCTTCTTCAAAGGGGATTTTTGCAAAAAAATTGGACACATTATTCTTTATGCCAATGTCAGTAATGATACTTTCAAATACCATATTTGCCTGGGGATCAAGGCCATTTTGAAAAATTAAAATTATGTATTGTTCTTCCAAATCTGAAAAGAAATCAATATAACTTTAAGTATAAAAGAAAAAAAAATAGGCAAATAGATATTAGAAAAGAGTAACAACTAGTTCTTTCCAAGGATATCACCAGAAATCTGGTGTAAATGTTCAAAATACTGCTCGGTATACAGTGGATATATAATAAATACTGGAATAAAGACCAGTGACAGTGTTACCTAACAATGTCACCTAAAAGTTATCAAGAAAAAGGAACCAGAATACATTACCCTAGCAGCAAGCTTAAGAACAAATCTATTCATGGATGTAACTAATCTATTTCATCTCATAGAATCTGTATATAATTTTAAATATATTTCAATTAACATTTTTGTCAAACACAAATAAAAAACTGCCAGGTGAACTATTAATATCTCTAGAGAATTTAACTGCAAAAACTGCTATTCACTAATGTGCTGATTCTTGCAGCTTTAATAGTAGCTATCATTTATTCATCATTAAGCTAAAGCAATTACTACTGAAAAGTATTTACTTTACAATTAGTCATGCTATGTCATAAATGTTAGAGGTGAAGGGAAACAAATTGGAGAACTACCTCTATTATTGTAGAGGATGAAGACTTATTCTATGAGCCAGCAAACTTCCTACTCAGGCTGTTTCAAGGATTCCAGAATTATATGGTTGATTTATACTTAGCACTCCTACCAGTGCATTACAAAATTTTCATTTTACTCAGATTATAGTGTTAAAATAAGGAGTGCAAACCTTTTTTGAGTTTTAACCCATTTCGAAAACTTTCTAAATGGGTAAACCTGGGTTTCATCTTTAGAAATTCCACTTTCTGTGGGCTTTTCTCCTCATCTATAACATGGGAATTATATTACATAATATATATATGTGTGTATACATATAAATACACATTATATATCTTACAAGATCACTATAAGGATTATAGATAATACACATCTAAGGCATCTATTAAAGCACATTCACACTCTGCCATGCAATGCATTGTATGTATTATCATCATGTGTTCTATAAAACTTACTTTTTAATTTATTTGTTCCCTTAGAATCATTCCAAACTTTATCCTCCATATTCATTTGCAGTTGCATGCTCAGCTTTTGATAAACTGCTGGTATTGTCTGAAGAAACACGACTGGCAATTTTCGGACATTACACCATTCACATTTAGTTAGATCAGAGGTATTTAAAGTAATCCCTACAGGATCATTTTCTGGTTCTGGGGGAAAATAAATGGAATTAGAAAAGGAATCAATTCTTAAAATCATGAATGGAGGAAACGATGAGGAAATACAAGTTTAAAGTTAACCACATATTTGCTACACTCTAAAAATATTAAGTGTAGTGGGAAATGAAAAATATAACTATCTTAAAGAAACTTCTACATTTTTTCCAAATGAAGGGGTTTCTAATGAAGTATACTTATAAAATTAAACATAGGTTTTATGATGTTACAGAATGAAATTACACTATTAAGATACATGCCCTTTGTTAAGAAGATATATGTAATAACTAATCATCTTCATGAACTTCATGAATATCATTTAATATTTTATTCCTGTAAAGTGTTTTATTGTAAAGAAAGCTTTAGTGAGTAAAAAGACATAAAAAAGCTTACCTTCTAGCTGTATCTTGATAAAATCTAAACAAAACTAAAAAATAAGATAAATTAGTACCAACCACGGTCTTATGAAGATTTTGCTACAAATACCCTAAATGACACATTATTTGAGACTTAGACTACAGAGGGCAGAAAAACGAAACCATCTACCATGTACTTAAATATGAAATATCCCCCCACTCCAAATTATCTTTCAGAAAGGCAAGCTTCACCTTTTTATTCAAGCACTTAGAACATTTTTTTTTTTTTAAGATTTTATTTATTTATTTGACAGAGAGAGAGACAGTGAGAGAGGGAACACAAGCAGGGGGAGTGGGAGAGAGAGAGCAGGCTCCCCACTGAGCAGGGAGCCCAATGTGGGGCTCGATCCCAGGACCCTGAGATCATGACCTGAGCCTAAGGCAGATGCTTAACGACTGAGCCACCCAGGCACCCCACTTAGAACATTTCTTATATTATTGGTTTATTTCTTAGAACTTCAAAGAAATGTTGACCAAATATTACAATGAAATCCTAAATACTCCTTACCTAGATTCAACGACTGTTAAAATTTTGCCACACCTACTCCCCATCACTCTATGTACATACACATCTCCTTTTTGCTAAACCAGCATAAAACAAGCAGACGGCATCATGATAGTCCATCCCTAAATCCTTCAGGATACATCTCCCAAGAACAAAGATGTTCTCCTACACACCCAAAACAGCATTACCATATCTAAGAAGATCAAGATTAACTCCATCCAATATATACTTCTTACTCAAACTTTCCCAATTATTCAAAATTGTTCTTTATTGTGATTTATTTTAAGATTGTATTTATTTATTTGACAGAGAGAGAGAGAGCACAAGCCGGGGGAGCAGGAGAGGGAGAAGTAGGCTCCCTGCTGAGCAGGGTGCCCAACGTGGGGCTGGATCCCAGGACCCTGGGATCATGACCTATGCTGAAGGCAGATGCGTAACTGACTGAGCCACCCAGATGCCCCTTTTATTGTGCTCCAATTCATGATTCTGTCAAGGTTACATTTGTCTTTTTTGTCTACCCCAGTCAGGACCAGAAATTTGCCCCCTTCTGTTCTTCATGACATGACCATTGAAGAATCCAGGCTAGGTTCTGCAAAATAGACAAATCTTGAACTTGTGTTGCCTCATTTTAAAATTCAGGCCACACATTTCCAGCAAATATAGCATACAGGTGATGTTTTATACCTCCTACTATATCATATTTGAAGGCACATGATGTCAGGCTGTCCCATTACTGATACAAAGCTTAATCACTTGGCAAAGGCAATGTGCCAGGTCTTTCCGCTGTTAAGTAATCTGTGGAGAGATACTTGAAAGCTTGTGAATATCCTGTTGCCTAATAACCTTTCTGCTAATGGCTTTAGCATCCACTGAAGATCTTGTCTCAATCAGTTATTACTGGTAGTTATAAAAGGTGATTTTCCTTCTTTTTTTTTTTTTAAGATTTTATTTATTTATTTGACAGAGAGAGACACAGCAAGAGAGGGAACACAAACAGGGGGAGTGGGAGAGGGAGAAGCAGGCTTCCCAAAGAGCAGGGAGCCCGATGTGGGGTCCAATTCTAGGACCCCGGGATCATAACCTGAGCCGAAGGTAGACGCTTAACGACTAAGCTACCCAGGCGCCCCTAAAAGGTGATTTTCTAACTAAATTCTTTTAACACAGAGAAGACATATTAAGCCCACTATATCCTGAATTAATACTCAACTTTGTGTGTTACATTAAGAGAGTGAAAAACATAGACACAGGAATTTCAAAATGCATTTAAAAATAAACTGGAGGCCATTTGCAACGATGTGGATGGAGCTAGAGCATATTATGCTATGTGAAATAAGTCAGAAAAAGATAAATACCATCTGACTCACTCATGTGGAATTTAAGAAGAAAACAGAGGAACATATGGGAAGGGGGAAAAGAGAAAAGGAGAGAGAAACCATAAGAAACTTTCTTTTTTTGTTTTTTTTTTTTGTTTTTTTTTGAGAGGGAGAGAGAAAGAGAGGGGGAAGAGGGGCAGAAGGAAGAGAGAAAGAATTTTAAGAATCTTAAGCAGGCTCCACATCCAGCTTGGAGCCTGACAGCAGGCTCGATCTCACAACCCTGAGATCATGACCTGAGATGAAATCTGGAGTCAGACACTTAACCAACTGAGCCAGCCAGGTGCCCCTAAACCACAAGAGACTTTTTTTTTTTTTTAAGATTTTATTTATTTGAGAGAGAGAGAGAGAGCACGAGGGGAGGGAGGAGAGGAGGGAGAGAGAGAAACACACTCCCCGCTGAGCAGGGAGCCCAACAATGGGGCTTGATACCAGGACCCCGGGATCATGACCCAAGCTGAAGGCAGACGCTTAATCGACTGAGCCAACCAGGCACCCCACCACAAGAGACTCTTAACAATAGAGAACAAACTGAGTATTGATAGAGGGAGGTGGGTGGGAGATGGGCTAGATGGGTGATGGGTATTAAAGAGGGCTTCTGATGAGCACTGGGTGTTGTACGTAAGTGATGAATCACTGAACTCCACCTTAGAAACTAGTATTACACTATATGGTCACTAAAATTTTAAAAATTAATTAATTGGACATTCCAGACTTTGGACATAATTCGCCTGGCTCACTCAGTAGAGCATACAACTCTTGGATCTCAGGATTTTGAGTTCAAGACCCAGACTGGGTGTGGAACCTACTTAAAAATAAGTTGGACTGATATATAGAAAGATGAACAGATACATGAAAAGCAAGTTTAGTAAAATGCTAACGGCAGAATCTAGCTGGGAGTTTTAGAAGTGTTCACTGTAAAATTATTTCAACTCTTCTGTTTAAAAATTTTCACAATGCAGAAAAAGGAAGCAAAGAAATATAAAATAAATTTAGTAATTATTACAACTGCGAAGTCTAGCATGTCACAAAACATACCTTCTAAAAACTGTTTGAAGGTAATAGGCTAAATTGTTAGATGACTCAAAAAGTAGCAATAAGGATAACATAAACACTAACATGGAAACATTTAAATAACACTGTCATATGAGATATAAAAATAGAAGCATGTCTAAGTATCTGTCATTTAAAAATTTGTGTGTAACTGGGACGCCTGGGTGGCTCAGTCGGTTAAGCGTCTGCCTTCGGCTCGGGTCATGATCCCAGGGTCCTGGGAT